AAACCTGCACTATTTCACACAGAGAACAACCTCAAGGTATTTCATATTTATTTATTTATGTAGCACTCAAGGAAAGATCCACAACTTAGAGTCTATTGCGAGCCACTTAGTGGACACGGCACACACGTCGAAGAAGGTGTTTTGAGATCAAACTTTCAGCGTTTTGGCCTACGTCCAACATGCTACGTACTATAGGTCAACACCGCGAAGGAATCATCCTACATTAAACGTGGTGGTGACATTAGCATGTTGTGAGTCAGCTTCTTTCTCCAGAAGGAAGCTGGTCAAAGTTGATGGGAAGGTGGATGGAGGTACACACAGGACAGTCTTGGAAGAAAATAAGTTAGAGGCTGCAAAAAAACCCCCAAAAAACTCTAGACCATGTGGATGTTTAGGTTCCTGCAAGACAACGACACCCGCTAAATGTCCACAGCTGGCAGAGACATACCCTGAAAGACCAGAAGGTGAAACTGCAGTAAAAAGGGGCTCTGAAGAGTATTGACTTGCTAAATAAAAATGCATGTTTTCCATCCAATTTGTGATTATGGGATACTCACAAAAAATCGCATAAAATCTGCTGAATTTGGTGGTTTTGATGTCAACGACATGTGGGAGAGTTCAGAGGGTATGAATACTTTCCCAAGCCTCTAATCATGTGTCAATATATAATTCAAGCAGTATGTTTAAAATCTGGTGATAGGCCACTGCCTAAGATGTCCCTAAGACAACTTTGAAACTTCGTGAGGTATGGAAGACAATTCAGTGAACTCCAATGATTACAACAATCTTCTCCTCAAGACAAGCGTAAAGTTTCTTGTTCCATTAGGTTTTAATAAAGAAAAGGCTTCTTGAATAAATATACTGTTTTAAAAGCTTGCTCACGTTTGAATCCCAAGTCAATCTCTGTTCACAAACACAGTTAAATCAGATGGGATTAGCCTTCCCTTGGCTTATCCTGTACTCTTAGCCATGTGAGAGGAGCCTGAATGAGATCTCTATAAAAAGAAAGACAGTGATATACCAAAATAAAATGTATGTGCTAGCCAAGTTAGACCGACACTGCAGGAGAAACCTAGAGGAGATATCTTATTGGTCTGCGTTGGCTCTTGTCGGCTTTGCCGATTTGTGCTGGCAGACATCCAGGTCTGTGACGTTTTTTATTCCCATCCCTACCTTTTAGCTACTCGCTCTATTCTCAGCGCACTCTACGCTTTTCAGGGAAACTTTCATCCCTATTCATAGAACCTAATTTGACGAAACAAAAGCATGCTTGTCACATGTGTCCAAAACACGTGAACGCTTTGTCCAGCTCTCCATTTGAAGCCCGCTAATGAGACGGTTAGTGGGGAGACAGTGGAAAAAGTCTGCTAGGTGGAATGCTGCTCCGCATAGTTTGCCCTGACACACCTGCAGCAACACACCAGGCAATCCCTTGCTTCAAAAATTCATGACAGGCACCTGCTTGTGTAATGAGCCACTTGTCGTTGGATAAGTTTCCCCCATAGATGAAGAATAATATGTTTTTGTTATTTTTAGGAAAAGCTGTCAGTCTTTCGGGCTTCTTTAATTTTTTTGCCTTTCTGTGAATTTGCTTGCTTCCGTTTACCTTAACTTGTTATATTTTTAATGTAGGATGATGCCTATGCAATATTGACAAAGCATGATCCTTCTGGCTGCTGTCTAATATCAAACACATGCTGCTGGGAGCAACTGGGTGACATACTTAAATCACTGGATATCCATTGGTTTTTCTTTGTAGTTAAGTATTTTCACTAATTATGGAGATAGTCATACAAATTATGAATTAGAATGGAAATTAATTATTGTTGCAGGACTTGATATTATTATTATTATTATTATTTTATGTATTTATTTTTAGGTAAAACCACATTAATTCTAAAAAACAAAAAACATTGTATCCAAAACTGCCAAAACCACAAAGATAAGAAATAGTGAAGGGTTAAAATGACTTATTTATATATATATATATATATATATATATATATATATATATATATATATATATATATAAGTCATATAAGTCCCGCCGGGACGGGGAGACAGAAACGTGCATGACCTCTGCTATTGGTGAAGCAGTGAAAATAAGAAAATTGACCTAATAAGACATTAAAAGAATTGTAAGCAGACAAAAATTCACAAAAACAAAATCAAAATCAACAAACGGCATTGTAAAAACAACAACAACAACAACAAAAAAACATTGATTCAAAAAGAAATAAGAAAGGGCACGGAAACTTATTTTAAAAAGTGGTGAAATTATGTTAAAAGCTATGTGAATAAAGCAGGGTGGACGGACGGTCGGTCAGTCCCTTTTTTGCATTACGTTCATGTCATTCCCTCCTGACACATCAAGCCGTCTCGGTCACACCCTTCCCGGCTACTTCCCCCAACCTTTCTTACCCTGCCCGCCATGTTCTGGAGTAGGAGGAGAAGAGGAGGAGATACGTGTAGTCCTGACTGTAGCCGGATTAGCATTAGCAGCACGCAGCTAGGCGGAGGCGCAACAAGCTCCTTGAACGCCGAAATAAGTTCTCTGACGAGATTTTTCTCCCCACTTGGAATTAGCCTGATTGTTTTTTTAATGTTTATATTTCTGGAATAGCGCCATATCCTGACATAGCGTGAAAAACTATGGTGAGTGACCACTTGCTTTCATTTAGAGTCAAGTTGTTTTGTTTTTTCCAGGGTGTCCTGTAATCCAGTTTGCTCTGGTGATGTCTCCACCGAGCACCCGTCTTGGCTGCTAGCTCGAAGTACTGCTAACTAGCCTAGCATGCTAATGAAAATACGTTGGAGAGCTCCCTGTGGTAATGTGCATTTTGGTACAGTAGAGGCAGCGGATTTCGAAAATAACACTGTTGTTTTTACATACTCACCATAGGTGAACAATAGTCTTTTAATAATAAAGTGTTTGAAAAAAAAAATAAAAGCTAGCTGACATCAGCTTGGTTAGCTTTTATCCAACTTTTTCAAAGCAATGTTTTAACTTCCAAAATTAACGTACAACTGTCACTGAATATTTCTTCAAGCGCAAACAGCTCATTTGCATTATTGAGTTGTATAAAGTATGTGATATTAATAAAACCGACTTTCGAGGACATGTTAGGGGTGTCTACTGCTGAGGGAAACTAGTTAGCGAAAAACAAAATCCCAATTAAAGCCACAAGTTAACGTCGTTCGCTAGCTTGTGCCGATGGCTAAAGAAAAGTGTTTATCGCAGGTTTTCACTCAAGTTGTGAACACTTCTAGGCAGCGAGCGGGGGATATTTGTTCAGGTAGATGTTTAAAGTTGACGTTGCTTAAAGTTAGATATGTGCTACACCCATCATTGAATCGTGAGTCAGAAGTCGATAAAATGTTATTGACGAATCTTAGCACAAAAGCTAAAGTGGCGTCAGCTATCAATCACATCACCTAAAGGCGGCACAGTAATTCACTTTTGTATTTGTTAAAAGTATATCTTTGTTCCATTTGACTTGTTTACTTATCTCGGATTAAAAGAATCTATCCCGAAAGCGATCTTTGGAATAATTGCAAAAGGGGACATTCTTCTCAGATTGGGCGCTGTCTGCCTCCAGCCGTCTTACTTGGTTTGTCTTATTGAAGATGGTGAATGGCGACTGATTTAACAGTTTTTTTTCTAATAGTACGATCATATATATATATATATATATATATATATATATATATATATATACACACACACACGTTGGGATTTAAGCTTTTTAACATTGTTTTGCTGAAATCATTAACAACACTAGTCTGAGAAAGGAACACGGCTTTTGTCTATTGTCAGAAATAATCAGTCACACTGGTTGACAAATGCATCACCACCGTCCTCCTTCCGTCCCTGTCTCTATGGGACAGCTAGAGAGGACAAAGGGCCATCACAAAGTGGCTCCTCCTTATGTTTCTCCCCTGGTGTTTTAAGGTTGATCTTTATTATACCTTGAAGAAATCATTCCATTTGAGTCTGCAGTTTTCAATCAGTCTTTACAGGGTCACAGAGCTGCATGTAGGAGATGAATTATTAGTTTGTGGTAAGTGCTAAGTCACTAAAAGGAAGTGACCGTGTGGTTCAGAAACAGGCTAGATAACTTGATGTAGCACGCTCTGCACTGTCACACTAAAACACAGGTGCCTGGTTGTGCAAGATTTTCTTTCACCAGATCAGCTTTATCCCTGTGTGACAAGGTGGACCTGTTCTGAGTGCTGCCTTCTCAATCCTTAATGCTCATCAAAGGTTACCTGGGTTTTGCCAAGTGGCACACATACACACACGCACACACACAAACAAACTCACTCCCTTACTTGTGATTGCAGTGTATGTCCGAAAATGTAAAAACGAGGGGAGTTTAGCCAGCATTCTCACATTTGGCCCAGCCTGCGTTAGCTTCCCAGAGTTTGTGATTCTGGAGTAACAAAATTAAATAGATTCTGTGCTTTCTAGTTCACTTAAAGGATTGGCGAGGTTGTGTTTCGATCTGTGAAAAACTTTAATCAGCGGCTGGATTTGAAGTAAACATTGTAGAACTGGGAAGATGCCTTTTTTTTTTTTTAACGTTGATGCAATGCACCAGGAATCTGACATATTGAGCTGTGACCTCCTAAGGTGAAGATGCCTTTGTTGTGAATTTTAAGTCGGCACAGGCATTTAACTTGCTAATAAGGTCAACTGTACCGGAGAGTATTTTCGTTTCTTTGAACAAAGATGTAAACTTCTTTCTCATTTTACTTAAAAAAATAAAGGTGTCAGTCACTGTGAATGTTATTTGGAATTTGCCTTTCTGGAACACAACACATCTTTTGAAGAGAATTTTGTTTTGCATCAAAACCGTTCAGCCTGAAACGGATGCCACAATAACATGTCAGGCTGTTGGCCAGTTCCCTAATTTGGATGAACAAGATACAGACAATAGGGCAACATTTGCATACAGCGGTCATAACTGTTAATATAATAAGAGTTTTACTTTAGTGTGAAGTTACTAGGAATGTGACAATACATGCATCGTACAAACATAAACCGGATTTTAACAATGTTTTTGTATATAAGAATTATTCTTTTAAAGAATCTTTAGGCACTTCGCAAATCAACTCATTATGATTTAGAAAACCAAGTAGGAAAATTATAAATTAATTGATGACATTAAATTGACTTGCCACGCATTCATAACTACAGATCTGACTTTTCTAAACTAAATCCTCCCTACCCGTCTGCCGTTCTTCTGTTAGACAAGTACGTCAAATACGTTGGAATATGCAACATGCAAGCTACTTTGCATCATAAATACTCAGCCTGATATTCCTTGAAACCTGCTTTCCAGGCATCGTGTTGGGGATATTTTAGTTGCTTGTGATCCAGTTACCCTGTTTCTGATATTTATTGATATTATATCTATTTTACTACCCTTTCAACACCTTGGAGAAAAAACAACCGTGCCGCTGACTTTATTGCTCCCACAGTCTGGCACTGCGTCACACTGTCACTGTCACACAACCAAAAACATATCACATGATGGGGGTTAGCATTTATTACAAATGGATCAGTTTTTCAAGAGCAGTGTTTGTGTTTGTGGGGCTACGATTGCTGGGCTATGCAGTCACAGTCATACAGTTACCTAAAAAAGAAGTAATGAATAGTTTTTATCATCACTTTTCTCGTCATCACAATGTTACCAGAAAACATCTTGATGAAACTCGTCCCACCCCGACCACATGACCAACCTCTTTCACTTTCCCTCAAGAAACAAATGGCAAGAAGATGGGAATAAATATTGGTTGTTAATGTTGGCCCAGTTTTATTTATTTATACCAATATATTGTGCATCCCTAAATGTCTGCTCCGTAGTATTAGGGTGGATCTTTAGTATCACTAGCTTTCTGGACTTCTGGTTTATAGTAGCAGCAAAGGTCAATTATTTTATTTCCACGTCTGGGCTGAAACATTTAATATAGTTCCCCTTGTTTCACGTGCCTGAATTTTTTTTTTTTTTTTTTTTTTTTTTTTTTTTTTTTAAAACCTTTATAAGGCC